AAAAACCTCAAATTTATTTTAGTTGGGTTTGGCCTTTGATGAATTTAGAATGAGTTCCAGAAAATAAAATCTGCTTAATGACAACAACTTTGTTATTTACGGATCCAGCTTCAAATCACTGGTATTTAAATATACACATGGTATATATTTTTGTTAGCTCCTTATTGTAAATTTCACAATTGTTTCTCAATATCTATGAGCTTATTCTTGATTCCTAGACTCATAGCTTACATCATTTGGTGTGTCTCTGCATTTATGTCCACCATATGGTCCTCTGAAGACATCTGGATTCATAGTGTTATGAATACCAAATCCTCTTGGAAATTTATAATTCCATGTAGATATTGCTGTTAAACCTTGTAGGTAAGGACTTCCACCATGATAGGCACTCCTATGGAGAGTAGATAACAAAGTGTAATTTGAAGAATTATATAAAATTTATTGCTTGTTGATTTACTGTTAAGCATATTGATCCATGGTGTATTGAATAGAGGTAGAGGGCCATACCTCAAAGATATGATGTCATAGTGTCCATACCTTAAAGATATGATGTCATAGTGTCCATACCTTAAAGATATGTCATAGTGTTCATATCTCAAAGATATGATGTCATAGTGTTCATACCTTAAAGATATGATGTCATAGTGTTCATACCTTAAAGATATGATGTCATAGTGTCCATACCTTAAAGATATGATGTCATAGTGTCCATACCTTAAAGATATGATGTCATAGTGTCCATACCTTAAAGATATGTCATAGTGTTCATATCTCAAAGATATGATGTCATAGTGTTCATACCTTAAAGATATGATGTCATAGTGTCCATACCTTAAAGATATGATGTCATAGTGTTCATACCTTAAATATATGATGTAATAGTGTCCATACCTTAAAGATATGTCATAGTGTCCATACCTTAAAGATATGATGTCATAGTTCCCCGTGTAGAGTCTTGCCATCAACATTGCCAAATCATTCGCTTCTGATCCACTGTTCACGATGTATGCAACCTGCAAACATCAATAAATAGTTTAGAAATAATAAATAGTTTACTGTCTGTTCTATTCAAATGAAAAAAAACATCCTTTGATACCAGTCTCTGATCTAGAAATAGAAGATCCTTCACTGTAGTATTGCTTCAGTTACAGCTTCACTGTCCATATACAGTGCTCCAGTTTGGTCAGCTGCTAGTGTGTCTACTGCCTAATTGTGACATGCACTCATTTTGTGAAAATTAGATTTTTGGTGTCAGAAATAATTTATATATTTATTTGATGGTATTTATTTGAAAAAGAACACTATCAAATTCCAAAAGGCGTGAAATTAACACTTTTTGAAAAAATTCAGTGACAATTTATCCAGTATAAATGGACAATTGTGTTTCTGGATTGTGACAAAATGAAATAAATCATAATTTTCACAGAACAAGATATGTTGATGGATATGGACATGAAATTACCCATCATGCATAGGTCTCCACTTTGCTATAATACCATCATCTATATGTATTTGTAGTGCAATGAAACCTGTGTAAAACTAAACACTAGTTGGACTGGGGTCAATTTTATGGACATGTTCAGTTTACAGATTCAGGTGCTCAGATCAGTGTATGCCAACATCAGATTACATAGGTGTTCAGTGTACAGCAATATTCAGATTATAGAGGTGTACAGCAATGTCCATTTTACAGAGGTGTTCAATGTACAGCAGTGTCCACTTTACAGAGGTGTTCAGTGTATAGAAATGTCCACTTTACAGAGGTGTTCAGTGTATAGAAATGTCCACTTTACAGAGGTGTTCAATGTACAGCAGTGTCCACTTTACAGAGGTGTTCAATGTACAGCAGTGTCCACTTTACAGAGGTGTTCAGTGTATAGAAATGTCCATTTTACAGAGGTGTTCAGTGTATAGAAATGTCCACTTTACAGAGGTGTTCAGTGTATAGAAATGTCCACTTTACAGAGGTGTTCAATGTACAGCAGTGTCCACTTTACAGAGGTGTTCAATGTACAGCAGTGTCCACTTTACAGAGGTGTTCAGTGTATAGAAATGTCCACTTTACAGAGGTGTTCAGTGTATAGAAATGTCTATTTTACAGAGGTGTACAGCAGTGTCCACTTTACAGAGGTGTTCAGTGTATAGAAATGTCCATTTTACAGAGGTGTTCAGTGTATAGAAATATCCACTTTACAGAGGTGTTCAGTGTATAGAAATGTCTATTTTACAGAGGTGTACAGCAGTGTCCACTTTACATTCAGTTATATTGTCATATAGTTAACTGAGAGACTGTTTCTGTTCTTTGAAAATTTTGAAATATTCATCAGAACTAATGTTAACTTGTGTACTTGGTTTGAACAGGTTTCAATGCATTACACAGGCAGTCATTATAAACTCAGTCTTGTTTGTCGCAGCGCTATGAATCATTAATGAGTGTAAAGACACCTTCAGATCTCCTGGTAGTTTATCAGTTAGCTTGGTGGCATATTCATGGATCCCGGGATGTAAATAGATATTACTAGTATGCCACAGTGTCCTCATCTGTTTGTCTAATGCCGCTACCACTCTTCTATATTGGAGGAGAGAAGATGAGAACATACAAAAGATTGGCAGTTAGCTACACGGGTTGCCAAAAGATCATCAGAGTTACCTACACCTGATGTGAGTATGGAAATTTCACTGCCCGGGCATTGAGTAAAAAACATTTTTTTTTATCAGAACATTGAATAATCCTAGAATAAACAAAATTTGATTGCATCTGCAAATGAATTTCCAAAATTGAATATTTTCTCATGTTATCATGGTAATA